ACATGTGCACACATACAGTCGTCGGCTGTCGCAGTATGCGTGCAAGAGAGCGGCTGGCTCTAGGGCGCTCTCTCGCTGGCTTTTGGGCAAGAGAGCGAAAAGCCAGTTGAAAAGCCAGCACAACAAATTCGTGTGCAAAAAAATCGTATGGCGTTACGCATCTTAGAGATTATATTGGTCTTTGCATTAACCGTATCGTGTGACAAAATTCATGAAAATAGGCTTTTTTTGGCCGAATTAACCATAAAAGGTGGGAGATGTAGTATGCATATATCGTTGTAGCGAGTATGCACTGTACCAATGCCAACATTGTATTATATTAAACTTACGTAAACACAAAGACTCGGCCGTTAAACCCAAGCGGCCGACAGAAATACGAAATACGAATACCCCAAATGCGCCTTAGAGCCCAACATATGAAAAGTGCAAGCTAGCATATTTCTATGGGCTGAACCCTGAAACATCTGATACAAGCATGTACAAATTCTCTCGCGCTCTCGCTGTTACCAGCTATGTATAAATTAATTTTTAAAATATCCCACGGGTGGTCCCTCGCAGTTGCAGCTTATCCAGGGGGGTGGACGAAGAATTCTCCAAGATGAATTACGAAGATTACGTTGGAAGGGTGACTGCCCTTCTTTACCTGCTGGCCTAGGGACTCAGACAGTTTTTCAGTAATAAGAATTTAACGACGGTTGTCGGAGTAGAATTTGTATGAGCGACAGCTCTTTATTCATATAAAGTCAAATCTAAAACTGAAACTTAAAGCTAACAAAAAGAGACTCATAGCGGCCACTCCATTGGGTAGTGTTTGCCGGCTATGTCCGAGCTTCCGGCTAGACGCTGTGTAAGCAATTTGGCCGGAGCGAGCCTTCGGACGATCGGTCATTGCCGTCGCCCAGTTAACTTAGTTAACTACTCCCCCTCAGAATTAAGGCCGCCCTCGGCCGACCCTATTTGGGCAATCACCTCCCTTAGTTGTAATTGACGTAACCGACAAATCAGAGCAACTCGAAATAGCTGTGACTGAACACAACAGAGCGCATCGCGCTGCTCAAGAAAACGTTAAACAAATACTTTTAGACTACTTCTTTCCGAAAATGACAAGAATTGTTACTGAAGTAGTAACGAATTGTAGAGTATGCTCGAAAGGGAAATACAATCGCCATCCCGAAAAACAGACTATTGCTAAAACACCCGTACCAACCTACGTTGGAGAAATTTGACATGTCGACATTTTTTCTACAGAAAACCGCTGTGGATAAGTTCTCTAAGTTTGCCTCCGTTCAACCCATAGGCTCGCGAGCAATTATAGACATTAAAACACCTTTACTCCAACTTGTCAATCTGTTTCCAAAAATAAAAACCTTATACTGCGACAACGAACGCTCTCTTAATTCAGAGACTATAAAACAGGAAACTTTGGAATTAATATTGTTCCTTTTAGGCTAAACCACGTCGCCATATTCCTCCTGACAATACTGACCACGAACGCGACATTCCGACTTAGTGACTATTCACACGCTGATTACATACCGGTGACCGACGGGGTTGTAACTATCTGGGACGAGTACGGATACCTTGGACACACAGCCAATATAACATTTTACGAGACTTATGCGGGCGAAACATCATCATTAACGACAAAGTTCCCAAGAAAACATATGGAACTAGAAGTACTCTCCGACGTCGAAAAAACGTACACTAGTAGACACAATTAAAATACACCATAGACAGGGTCGTAGTATTAACATGTTAGGATCCGCATTAAAAGTAATAGCAGGGACTCCAGTCTTTGAAGACTGGGAACAAATAAAATTCAGACAATTGCAATTAATACAGGCTGAAAACAATCAGATAGACATCAATAGCAAGATTCCAACCCAATTTAATCTTCTGTCCCAGCAAGTAAATTCCATTAGCAAGTCAGATAAGATAGACTCCGACCACCTGTACGAGACAGTTCTTGCAAAAAATAGAGCAGTAATAACTAAATTGGAAAACTTAACATCCATAACTCTAGCCAAAGTAAATCTGTTGAGTCCGGTTATTTTAGATAACATTGATGTGAAAGAGATAACGAATGAACACCTTACAAATGTCAGTGTGGCTGATGTGCTGGCGGTGTCTAAAGTAAACATATTTCAAAATAATAACCTTTTGTATTTTCTAGATAAGTTCCCAAAACCGAAAGTAGTTTGCAAAAAATGAATGATTTATCCCGTTCAGCACAATAACGTAATATTAGAATTAGATCAACACAACACTATAGCCGACTGCGGGGAGCGAATTCTGGCCGTCTCTAACTGCGACATAGCCGTAGGAACAAGCTTCTGCAAAACTTCGGAGAGTTCAACATGCGCTCAACAGCTGATGACCGGCGCTCTCGCTCACTGCGACACAAAATCCAGCCATCTCCAGCCCGTGGTTACGGTGGACGAAGGCATGCTAATCATCAACGACGCTGCTGCAAACATAACAGGCGGCAGTACTCATCAAAATATTGCCGGCACGTTCCTTGTAACCTTCGACGACCAAATAAGCTTGAATGGTACCCCATACATCAATCATCATGGGGTTCTGAGGAAAGCACCGGCAGTGCCAGCCATGGCTAGAATCAACATTACTGAGCACCACCAACTCCTCAGTCTACCGTTTCTGCACGAGTTAAGTCAGCGCAATCTGCAGCGAATCGGCGATCTGGGGGGCCAAATTACCTATGGCTCCGCCTTCAGCTGTGGGGCTACCACTGCCCTACTATTAGGATGCTTTGCCCTCTTCCTCCTTATCCGTCGCCGAAATGACAAGAAGAACCGGAACAAGCTGCTGGCTGACATACTTGGAAAGACCGAGGGCGGCCTTAACTTAAAACTGGGAGGAGTTAACCCGACTACGGTCATCGATCTTGGGCCAGCACCGGATGCACGCGTAAGCGGGAATCCAGCCGAAATCCGATCCGGCCCATGCAAGCGCTGAGTGGTCACGGTCACGAGGCACAGCGTCAGCAAAGTTCGGCCAGCAACGGAGATGCGGGTCGCCAGCAGCGGCTGCCCAAAAGTGCGGCATCACCATCTTACCCGGGCGATGGAGTGGCGAGCTGCAGTCTCTTTTTGAATTGTACTTTTATTTTCTAAACAGAGCTCAAGCTGCCCAAACGGGTTATCAATAAATCAATTAAAATATAATAAAAATACTTTTGTTATAATTTGTATACATACATTGTAACGCAGTTCTCTGGCCGGGGTAGAATCTCAATCGGGGCCAAGGAACCTATACAAGAAATTTATATAGAAGGGTGGGACCTGTAGTAGGAATTTGTATGGGAAGGCTGTAAAGCGCCCTCTACGCGCGAGAGCCGTTGGTCAAACCGATCTGAACACGGAGTTGACAACCAGACGTCGGCTAGAGCGCCGCCTAGCGGCCTGCAGTGGGAATAAAGGCCGCCCACACTGCTTGGTGCGGAACCCAGGGAGGGTCTTGGTTGAGGCGCCCCCTGGTGGTAGGGGGAGGTACTCAGTGGGTGATCGCACTGCTTGGTGGGGAACTTGAGTGAGACCCGTCGGTAATGCCCTCTGGTGGTGGAGGACGATCGCACTGTTTGGTGGTGGATTCGGATGATTCCGATTGGTGTTGACTGCGGGGGTTACGGGGAGGGAGACTCCGCTGGGCATGAACGGCGGGGTTGATCCGTCCCGGGTAAGCTAAGGGTCTACGTGTGTCTACTCTCCGGATATACTCGGAGCCTACGGGCGTCTACGCTCCGGCTATACTCAGAGCCTACGGGTGTCTACACTCCGGCTATACTCGGAGCCTACGGGCGTCTACACTCCGGCTATACTCGGAGCCTACGGGTGTCTACACTCCGGCTAAACTCGGAGCCTATGGGGGTCTACACTCCGGCTATACTCGGAGCCTACGGGGATCTACACTCCGGCTATACTCGGAGCCTACGGGGATCTACACTCCGGCTATACTCGGAGCCTATGGGGATCTACACTCCGGCTATACTCGGAGCCTACGGGGGTCTACACTCCGGCTATACTCGGAGCCTACGGGTTTCTACACTCCGGCTCGGAGTCTACGGGGATTCTAAGGAGGGAGCTCTCGGCCGAAGTACGTCGTGTGGATGCGAAACCAAACACACGGCGTAGGTCGGGGTCGAGAACGGGCGAGGTTAGGAGGAGGGGAGGTGTATTGGTAAAGAAACAACACGCGGGGTTTTAGTTATTTAATTTCAGGCTTATATTTGATAATTAGTGAAAGTGGTTCCCTGGCTGCTGCCCTCACAATGGGTGTTCTTGCTTACGTGTAACCTTGAGGATGTCAACTGGTGTGGCGCGGATGAGCACGGTGAATCTCAGGCTAGGCGTTTGACTTTTGAATCGCGTGTCGGAGGATTATTTGTGCACACGTCTACTCGCGGTAAAAATCGAAAACCAAAGAGACCGAGTCCGATTTCTAGCGATCGTACTTCAGCTCGTGTCGTGTTCCCTGACCCAGTTCGTTGTTATCGATCGTGATATCGATTGCCCCCCTCAGGAGTGCGATAGCGGGTTAAGGGGGTTCTGCCCGTGGTGCGTGTCTCGGCTTCAATTGTAAACACCAGCTTAATTAGTTTTTCCTTAGTTGCTATTACTTTATATTGATAACTGGGGTGGACTCCATGTCCAAATCTTAAGGCTAATTTTAATACTATACTAGATGCTACATATATGGACTCCGATCCTCGGCACGATGAACTTAAATTTGTACGCCCTCAGATTTGGGCGTTACATTCCCTCCTTACTTCGGGGAAGGAAAGAGATGTTTCCCGCGCCGTTTGGCTTTAGGGTGACTTGGTAGGAACCCTCCTCGGTCGGGACCCTGAAGCGCTGTCGCGCGGTGCGGGCTGCAGGACGTCGGGCGCAGATGGCCTGCCAGACGGCAACCGAGACTTGGCCGTCGGTGGTGTTACACGTCCATCCAGCCGGGAGCGGGTGGCACTCGCCACCCGGGGGTGGACGGTTTTCGGCGGCCGAGTGCTCCAGATCTGGGGCTGCCGTTGCGGCCTGCGGGTTGTCGTCCGGGTTCGAAAGCCATTCTTGTGATGGCTCCCAGCATAGTCTCTCCATGTCTGGTGAGATCTGTCCCAGCAGGAGGTCTAGCGTTGTGGGTGACATCCCCATCGCGGTATCCGAGGGAGTGGAGGCTGCTGTTGTGGGGAGGGGAAAATCGTAGACGACTGCCTCGGTGTCCGGTCCCTGTCCGTCAAGGGGGAGTGTGGGCTGGGCCGCCACGTCGAAGAGTGTATCCCTTGGCGGTGGTGGACACGGAGCTAGAGCGAGCGTGGGCTCCTTCCGTCGGAAAAGCTGCCCGGTGTTCTCCTCGTCGTCGCGGGGTTCCGACTCCCACTCCATGGCTTTGCCCGGCGAGAGGGTGGTGGATGGTCCGATGAAAAGCTTTGTAGTCGGACCGCGGGGGAGGGAGGTGGACGGGAGGTAGTCGGCCCGCGAGGGAGGGAGGTGGACGGCCCTGGTCCCATCTCTTCGTCCTGCGAGTAGGTCACCTCAACGGGGCAATCCGTCGGGAATCCGAGATCTTCGGCTGCCTCGGTCTCGTCAGGCCCCATGATGCACAGGTGCACGGGGGACGGTGGGAAGGTCACGATGGGTACCTCAGGTGGCCGATATGGTGCTTCGATCCGGATCGTCTCCCAGCTGGTTCTCATCAGGTAGATCCAGGACCCCTGGTGGTATCCGCAGCGGTCCTCGCCCGTGAAAACGTAGTGCGCCGCACCTTCCCTGGAATCGTCGTCGTCCTCCCGGCTGCTCACCGAGTGTGTCTCCGCGTTATCGGAGCCGCTCGCATCCTCGACATAGGGGGATTGCTCGTCCCGTTCTTCCTCCTCGTCGCTGGGGTAGGGGTTCGGCTGATCCCGGTAGTCCTCGCTGCGACCGCAAGGGTTATACTCCCTGTTACTCTCCGTTGACCCGGCTGGACTCGGGTAGTGCTCGTAGTGAGTCGGGTAAATCCGATGTCCGGCCGCGTCCGTGTAGTGCGGCGAAACTCCCCCGGCTCGGGGTGGCGTCGGCATCGACTCGTTCTCGGAGTCACTGGATTCCGGGGCGCAGTTCGACGCTGCCCGGCGGGATGATGTCCGAGCACTGGATCTGGGAGAGGATGGGGTCGCTCTTCCCGAGACTCCTGGCTGGCGCCTACCCGTCGGGCATGACCGGGTGGATCTCTCGGCGTACGCCGTTCCTGGGCGTAGCCGAGGATCTCGTGTGGTCGTCGACTGGCGGTTACCTTGAACGCTGGGTTCAAACTCCTCGTCGCTGTCGCCGGACGACAGTACGATGATGTCCATTTTCTGTCCGTCAGCTCTGTGAAAGAAACAACTAAACTAGCTTAGTTCTATTGATGCTTAGCAATAGGGTTAACTGGGCTGCAGCGAAAGAATCTCCTAACTTCGTTCTTAAGGTCTTACTGGCTTATGACAAACTTAAACTTAGCGGGGACACAAAGGAAGGTTAGGGTACTTATGATCACCCCTCGTTGCTAATGACGGTCGGTGGGTTCGGACTCTGGGGCTGCCCGGGTTGGTCGCCGGTGTCCTCTCTGGGAGTTTCGCTGTCCTCATCCTCGGGGTTATCTGTGGAAGAAGAAAAGAACGCTTTTAAGTCCCCAATATTAGCAAGTCGCCCCTTCCGCTGGCCAGGTAGGCGGATTCGGACGACGTTGGGTGACGGGAAAGCGACCACCTTATACGGTCCGTCAAACTTTGGGGCGAGCTTTGCCGCGAACCCCTCTGCTGCTTTAGACAGATGATGTTGTCGCACGAGGACCAGTGATCCCATTTCGGGCTTCCAGGTTCGACGACGCAGGTTATAGTGTCTCCCCTGTTCTCGGCTGGCTTTTTGGAGATTGTTCCGCACGATCTGGAAGATCTCCCTCAGGTGTTCCTCTCTCTCCGATGGGCTCGAGGGCGTCGTTGCTGTTCCGGGAGTTACGCTGTCGTACCAGGACCCGGGTAGCCGTGGTTCTCTAGCTTGTAGGAGAAAAGCTGGGCTATACCCGGTCGATTCCGAGACACTTGTGTTGATCGCGAGTGAGAGTTCTGGCAGCAACATATCCCAGGTGTTCTGCCCATTTTCCACGTACTGGGCGATCATGGTCTTCACCGTGCGATTCGCGCGCTCTGTCGGATTCTCTCGCGGGCAGTATGGGGCAGTGAATTGAGGTTCCACTCCCGTTTCCTTGAGGAAGTCTTTGAACGCCTTGCTGGTGAACTGTGAACCATTATCGCACACCAGTTTCCTCGGGGCTCCGAAGTGGCCGATGATCCGTTCGCGGAAAGCTCGTATCAAGGTCGCTGTACTTGCTCTGCGTAGGGGTATTAATTCGACCCATTTGGTGAATATGTCGAAGAAGACGAGGAGCATGGTATTCCCCTCTTTGGAGCGGGGCAAAGGTCCGATGAAATCCGCACACAGAACTCCAAAGGGTTCGCTGACCTGTCTCGTTAGCATCTTTCCGGCCTGTTGTCGCTGTTCTGACTTGTATTTTTGGCACGGGATACATTGTCGCACGTGTCGTCGCACGTCGCGGAACATCCCCGGCCAGTAGTACTTTTGCGAGATTCTGATGATGGTTTTCCTAATACCAAGATGTCCGGCGGTGGGGGCATCATGACATTCATGTAAGATTCGATCCCGATGTTCGGCTGCTACGCACAGCTTCCAGGGCACGTAGTCCTGGTCGTCTGGACGGTGGCCGAGATGGCGATATAGTTCTCCGTTTTCAATGATGAAGTCGGGGAACTTCTGGGGGTCGTCCAGAACGTCCTTCATCTTCCTTTGCAGCCACTTGTACTGGTGCTCGCCGTCCGTGAGTCTCTGTAAGTGCTCTAATGGTTGTCGAGAGAGAGCATCGGCTACCACGTTATACTTCCCGCGCCGGTAATGTACATCGTACTGATATTGCTGGAGCTCTAAGGCCCATCTGGCAATCCTTCCGGTGGGGTTTTCGATCTGGTCCAGCCATTTCAGGGCTAGGTGGTCGGTGATTACGTCGAACCTGTAGCCTTCGAGGTAGCATCGCAGTTTCCGTATTCCCCAGACGATGGCCAAACATTCCTTTTCCGTGGGCGAATAATTCAACTCCGCGGCGTCGAGTTTGCGGCTGACGTAGGCAATGACTCGCTCCTGGCCGTCGATTTCCTGGGTTAGTACTCCCCCGAGTCCGTAGTTACTGGCGTCAGTTTGGAGCGTCATCTTGACGGAGAAATCTGGGCACGCCAGCACTGGTGCATCTGTCAGCAAACCTTTCAGGAGATCGAATGCATTCTGCTGCTCCGATTCCCACTTCCACCGTTGGTTTTTCCTTAGCAGGTTCGTCATGGGTTGGACTACCGAGGCAAAGTTGGGCACGAACCGTCGGTACCATGAGGCCATCCCGAGACATCTCCTTAGTTCCCGTAAACTACTAGGAGGGCTCAGGTTTCGCACGGCGGCTACCTTGTCCGGGTCGGTGTGGATACCCTGATCACTGATCACATGTCCAAGATAGGCCAGTTTTCTCTTGAAGAAAGAGCACTTTTCCTGGTTGATGCGCAGGTTAGCTCTCCTCAATCGTTCGAAAACTTTGCGCAGGTTATCCATGTGTTCCCCTAGGCTGGCCCCAATGACAATAATGTCATCGAGGTAGGCGAACGCGTATGGGTCGAGGTCGGGTCCGATCACGCTATCTAGGGCTCGCTGAAAAGTTGCCGGGGCCGAATGCAGCCCGAAAGGCATGACGCGCCATTGGAATAAGCCGCGTCCGGGGACCGTAAAGGCGGTACATGCCCGGCTATCTTTGGCCACTGGTATCTGCCAGTACCCGTTGCGCAGATCCAGGGTCGAAATGTATCTCGCGTTTCTCAGTCGTTCTAAGATGTGGTTGATGCGCGGCAACGGGTACGCGTCCGGGATCGATTTCGCGTTTAGTTGCCGGTAGTCCACGCACATGCGCCACTGTCCGGTTTTCTTCCGGACCAAGACCAACGGAGCACTGTGTGGACTACGCGATGGTTCGATACATTCCTGCTCCAGCAACGCGTCTACTTGCTCGTCTATGATCCGTTGCATGGCAGGGTTCTTTGGGAAATAGCGTTGTTTAATCGGCCGGTCGTCCCTCATGGTGATCCGGTGTTCCGCTATGTTTGCTACCCCCGTCATTCCCTCAAATCGCGCTAGCTGTTCGCTAAGGAACGCTTGGACCTGCGGATTAGTCTCGCAGCCGCGTTCCTTGCCCTCCTGACTGAGTACTTGATTCCCCTGGGACACAGTGCCCGTATCGGATGTCCCTCGTGGATTCTCGGCGTGTTCCTCCCGTCGTTTCCGGTCGTGGTCCTCGGTTGCCATGCTGGTGTTTCCTCCTGTGGTACTGGTCGCGTCTTTTTCCTTGCATGCTGTGGCGTAATGCGTTTCCCGTACTCTATGCTGCCCTCCGGGCGCATCCCTGTCATGATGTGGCCCTGTCTCGTGGTTGGCTATGCCTAGCCGAGGTTCCGTTCGAAAAGGGTTCCTTTTCCGGGCTATGGCGGAGTCAGCCAAAGGCTCCAGGTGGAAGGGGTTATCCACGACAGTCGCCGGTTGTACACGTTGCTTGGGAGCTGTAGTGGCTGTATCCCTATGGGGTCTTCCCACCAATCGTCGTGGGGCTGCCACGGGGTTTTCCTGGAGCTGCGTTTTATCAGGAGAAGCTGCCGCGCACACCGCGTTCGGTGCGCCGCTTCTCGCTAGGGGTTTTCCCACCAACCGTCGTGGGGCTGCCACGGGGTTTTCCTGGAGCTGCGTTTTATCAGGAGAAGCTGCCGCGCACACCGCGTTCGGTGCGCCGCTTCTCGCTAGGGGCTCCTGCGTGTCCGTTGATGGATGTCCGTTGGCTGTGCCGGGCGTAGCTTCGGGGCTGGTTGGTCCTCGCGATCGGAGTCGAGGTGGTGGTTCTGATGGATTGCCTTGATCGTCAGGCCGTGGTTCCTTGTATCTACTCGCCTGACCTTCTCTGGGTCTTTGTCGGGACAGCGTGAGGCTTGCCGTACCGCATCGGAGGGTAGTGCCGATAGAAGCGGGGAAATCCATCCCTAGGATTAAAGGTTCCAGCATGGCGGGCATTACTAGAAGGGGAACCTGAATTGTCTTCCGGGCGAGCGTCACGTCCGCAAGGAGTAGCCTTGTTACTTCTACTCGAGACGTGTCAGCGAGATTAATCTGGGTGCGAATCTCCCTAAACTGGTGTGGCTGACCGACTACGTCGGCGATGTCCTGGCTAATGAAACTCCTCGATGCCCCGGTGTCGATGGTGGCTAACCGTACGTGTCCGCCAAGGTCGACTTCCGCGGCGATCCTTCCTCTCTCTACCCTAAGCGGTGCGGTTACTGTTGGTTCTCCGGTGGATTGGGTCCCGACGAATTCCGCCGGTCGAAGGGACCCATCCCGTTTCCCGGTTGTTGGCGCCGACAGCATTCGACTGTGCGGACGTCCCGTCGTCCGCAGTCCCAACAGAAGTACTGTCGAGGATTCCGGCAGTCGCGGCTGAAGTGTCCTGGTGCTCCGCAATTTCGGCAAGCATCCCGCACATCGATTCGTCGTTCGGGTGCGGTCACCCGGTTAACCCTAGCTGGCGGGGCAGTTCTGGGCTCTGGAGATGTACGGGGTGGGCTCCGTAGGGGGGCTCTCTCAGTGAACGTAGGTTGGGTCTGATCTTGTGAAGGGGAGCGGTACGCTTTCGGATTTCTGGTGGCGGGGTTATAGTTGTTCCTCATGAGGCTCCGCTTCTGAACGGCCTCGAACTCGGTGGCCAACTGGGCTAATTCCCTAATGGTCCGTACCTCGCTGCGTCGGATATAAATCTGGTATTCCGGCGCGACATTTTCGTAAAGCCTATCTAGCTCTTGGCCTTCGTTGTAGCCCGCATGGCGCATGAGGACTCGGAGGTCTAGCATAAAATCTTTAAATGTTTCCCCTTCCAACTGCTCACGACTCCGAATCTGGTCGTCCAAGCGCTGGAGGTATCGGGGTGGGAGGAAAAACTCGAGGAATTCACGCCGAAATATTTTCCAGTCAGCCCCTTGGAGGCGGCTTGTTTGGAACCATTTGTCTGCTCTGCTCGTCAGCAGCTCTGCCATGGCTCGCGGAAGGAGTCCTAGGTCTATCCCGTAGGATAAGGCCCGACTTTCGACCTGCTCGATGAAGGCTAAGGGGTCTGAATATCCGTCAAATTGGAGGCCCCATTTACGAATTCGTTCGGGGACGCAAACAACCTCGCGGCGATTCCGGTCATGACTCGGCTCCGTGAAAGTTTCTTGATTACTGCCGACCGGAGAGGCGACAGTAACCGT